CCACCATGCCATCTGCTGGCTCCAATTGCTTCACTGATTTTACTGGAATAGTTTTTTTTTTTTTTTTTAATTGATCTGTGAGAGTTCTCTGAATATTGAGGTATTGCCATTTTGATTTTGAGTTTATTATTTAACTTTTAACTGTGCACAGAGTGATTTTAAAATTAAATAATTTATTTAATTTTTTGTTTCTAAAATTTTTTTCACAAAAATTTATCAATGTGGGGGACCAGCAGTTAGCAAATGGCTATGTCGCTGGACTCCACTCGACAGTGGTTCGAGTCCCAGACCCAGTGGCTTAAAACTCACACCAGGCATGTGTGCATATGCGCCCAAGATCCCAAGAGGAGAATGGAGGAGAAGGGACTGCGGTGTGACCATCCTCCCGGGGAGTGATTTCTCACTTTCTGTTTCTCTGTCTCTGTCTGGTGAGTGCACGTGCCCTATAGCAAAAACCTCTCCCCCACAAAAAAAAATTATCAATGTGTCAAAGAATAGTTTTAATCTTTTATATCATAGTTAAGCAATGTGTCATTGAATAGTTTTAATCTTTTATATCATAGTTAAGAAAAGTGTTACCATCTCAGGATTGCAGAAATATTTATATTTTCTAATGGAATTTTTATTGATGGGGAGAAAGATAAGAAGCCAATATTAATTTTATTCTAGTTGCTAACTAATTGTCAGACTTACTACTGTCTTTAAATGACTTCTTTCATGTTAAATTCCTTTGTATATTTGAGTCCATTTATGAGGCCTATTCTATTCTATTGATATATTTTTGAATAATTGTTACTGAGCTTTTATTTACTTGGCTTTATACTGTTTATAGGATAAGTATCCCTTGAATGTTTTCAGATTATCTGCCCATTTTTCCATATTAACGTAATAAATTTCAAAATCATTTGGTCAAACCAACAAAACACTACTAGGTTATTCGGTTGGGATTATATGGCATTTCTATATTAATTGAGGAAAAATTGGCATTTTATACTAATTTTCTTTTTTGAAAACTTTATTATTATTTTTAATTTGCTATAGAGCATATGTGCTCGAGAGAGAGAGAAAGAGAGAGAGAGAGAGACAGAGAGTTTGAAAGTGAGCCGCCAGAAAGCGAGCCACCAGGTCTGGGATTCAAACCGTGGTTGGCCATGTGAGAATCCATTTCCTTAACCACCATGCCACCTGCTTGCCTGATTTTCTTATTGACAAATATTTTTTAAGATGGGTTTCAGTATTCTTTTATGTTTCTCAGCAGCACCTTATGTTTTCTTCATATAGCCTTTGGCCATTTTTACAACCTTTTTCTAGATATTTAAATTTTTTATTGTTGCAAATGGAATTACCCTTCCCATAATATTTTTAAATTTATTTTTAAAACTTTTAAAAATAATTATTTTATTTAACTTTGTTTATTTAGTTATTTATTTATGTTTTAATTTGACCAGAGAGGGACAGATAGAGCAAGAGACAGAGAGAGAAAGTGAGAAAGCAATCCTCCAGGTTTGGGACTTGAACCACTATTGGCCATGTGAAAGTCCAGTGCCCCATGCCACCTGTCAGTCCTCCTTCCCATAATATTTCATAAATGTTAATTACTAAAACATAAGTTTTGGACTTAATTTATATCCACTCGCATTAATGCAAAATTATATTATTAGTATTTTTTTTTGGAGAGGTTTTTGCTACAGGGTGTGTATGCTTGCCAGAAAGACAGAGAGAGAGAAAGAGACAGAGAGCAAGAAATCAGCCCCCCGGGGGTGTGTGTGGCCATGCCGCAATCCCTTCTCCTCCATTTTCCTCTCGGAATCTTTGGGCACAGATGCACACGCGCCTGGTGTGAGTTTAAGCCACCAGGTCTGGGACTTAAACCGTGGTTGACTACATGGGAGTCCAGCGACATAGCCATTATGCCAATTTCTGGTCCCCAAAATTATATTTTTCTAGTAATCTTTCAGGTGATTTTAGCCTTTCATAAAAGTCTTACCAAGTGGTACCCAGGGGACCAAAGAAGTAAATATACTTACCTTGCTTCAAGATGTGACTTGAAACCATCAGACAGTGGAGCCTAAAACAGGACAGTTTATGGAATGTAATTTGTACACCTAAGGAAGACTGAATATGGGCCATTGCCCCACTATGAAACTATTAGAATAAATATAGGTAAGGGTGATTACACATGCTTTTATTATGAGATTATCTAATACCTGAGATGGCCTTTGGTATTCTATTAACTGATCTCTCAGGACTAATCTTTATGAATAGTGCATTGTTTATATAAGCAGAAGAGAGGCTTGATTTTGAGTTAAACTTGGAGATATAGCCCCACATTCCAATAAGGTAAATGTGAGGGAATGGAACGAAAATCTGAATTGACTCTCTCCAAAGTAGGAGTTTATCAGATTGTGAATTCCAGGATTACTAATTCCTTTTATAGTGCCACAAATAAAGTGTAACTTCTTGTCTTGTCTTGAGGAATCCTTCCTCCTTTCAATAGACACCTTTCTCTTTAACCATCTACCATATCAAGGCCTCCAACTAGTAAGCAGGTGTAAGGTGGTCTGACAGTGACATCTGGTGGCCACCTGGGGAACTGTGTGAACTAACTTTTCTGGTGGGACCTCCTCCTGGGTGAACCTAAGGTTTTGGCCTGGTCTGGGTCTTGAGAATAGGCAAGTTATGCCTTGGCTGTAGAGAAAGATAAAAGGGAAACCAAAGTCTGAGCCCTGAGAAAAGTTGCTTAGGAGATCTGGGAAGCAAGGAATGATCCCAAAGGCCTCATCTATAGGACCTGGCAGAGCAAGGCCTGTATTCAAAGAGACCTCCCAAGGATGCCATCTGGAAACAGAAGAGATCTTGAAGCATGTGATGGAGAAAGCTATTTTCTTATTTATTTATTTTAATTTAAAGTCTGCATTTAATGTCAGACAAGGATCTGCCTAATTATGAGCATCCAATTGGTTCTGATATCTTTCCTCAGAGATTTTCTTGTCTTCCTTTAAAAAGGAATTTTCCCCAATTTTTTCCCATAGCTTGAAACAGGTAATTCCACATAAGGCACGCTCTATTCGTAGTTTCCCTTTATTTCTCTCTTTTTTCTCTCTCTTTTCCTTCTCTTTCACTTCTTCCCGTCCTCTCTTCATCCTGGTTCCTCTTTTTTTCTCTCTTCCTGGACTTTTCAGCTATTGAATTCTAGGAAAAGCCTCTCTCCTTACTCTTCCTTTATTATTTGGGACTCAGAACATAATCCTGACTGCGGCTGATCAGCCTAAGGCTAGTGCTTGTGGGTCAGTTTTTCAAAGAGAAGGAAGGCAGGGGCCAACGTGAAGAAACCAGCGTGTGATCCCGAGTCCTCTTTGACATCACCATCGCTCTTTGTCCCTCCCTCCCACGTGCTCGCTGTGGGCCTGCACTCAAGATTTCAATCTCCTTTAGTCTCTACCGTCCCCCCAGCACGTGGAACATTGTACCTGGCATGTAGAAGGAGTTCCAGAACTATCTGTTAAAGAAATGTGTACGGGGAACCAGCAGTTAGCGTAATGGTATTGTCGCTGGACTCCCACGTAGTTGACCGCGGTTCGCGTCCTGGACCCGGTGGCTTTAAACTCACACCAGGCACGTGTGCGTGCGTGCCCAAGATCCCAAGAGGAGAACGGAGGAGAAGGGATTGCGGCGTGACCATCCCCCCTGGGGTGGGTGATTTCTCGCTTTCTGTCTCTCTGTCTATCTCTGTCTGGTGAGTGCACGCGCCCTATAGCGAAAACCTCCCCACCCCACCCCACCCCCAAAAAGGAGTATGGAATGCTGATGAATAAGCAAATCTCCGCTTGTTCTTTTTTTGCCATATCTCAGTTTGTCTTGCCAGGTGTGGCCGGGATGCTAATTTTCATCGTGAAAGTGTAATTTTAGAACTTTGTGGGATGATATAAGCTTCGAGGGTATGTATATTACTAGCAGAAATGATCTAAGTTCTAACCTACCAACTAACTGACTTTCAAAAAAAAAAATAACCATAGGTAAAGTAGTTATAAGAGTGTATCTGTAAAACACGTAAGGCGAGTAGAACAACACCCACATGAAAATGGCCAGCTTTTAACTGTCTATGCTTCGCAAGAGCCCCCTGTAGTCTCCCCCCGTATAGAAGCTAAGACTGTCAAATATATGGGAATAAAACAAACTTGGAAAGCTGAAAAATATTAAGCTTTTGGCAAAACATCTTACGGTATAGGCTTCTCTGCATGTGGACTCTCTTTGGCATTGTAAAATCCTTGAAAACAGAGTTGGAGAAATATTTATTCCCTCTACAGAACTGAGCACAGAGAAAATACCGAACCTGCCTATTATTTTTCAGGATTGTGCCTTTTCTGGTGGAGAAACAATGAAGGCTGTTTTTATTTTTATAGATTATTTATCTGCCATTACTGTTACGTAAAAATTTTTCAGGGGTTAAAAAAAAAAATCACTTCCGACTTTCCAAAACCCTAGGACTTCCAAACTATTTCACAAATCTTTCTGATCTTAAAGGGCTTTTGCTATAGTGCAAAGATGAAGTTAAAGTGAATTAAAAGCTACCCTGAATTAAGACAGCTGAGGAGATCAGTAGGTATATAAATATCAGAGGGTGATATGCCCTGGTTACTTTGAGAGGGTGTGTTTCAGTATTCTGTACCTGGCTCCATGCCTTGTTCCTGGCTGATCTTGGTGACAGTGGTCTTGTTGGGTGGCGGGGACTGCATATGGGTATTTAACCTTCCCTTCCTCAACAGCGTGGACTGTGAGACTCTACAAGGCATGGAAGAAGCATGGCCCGACTTTAGAGTCCGACGACTCCCCAATGAATCCTGGCAGTGCCCCTGGCTAACTAGGATTAGTTCCCTTTTTGCAAAACAGGAGTAATGGCGTCTACCTGGAGGGGCTGTGGTGAGGCCTGCTGGTAGTACTTGCTCAGTTGTTCAGCCTGATCTCAGCATTCAGCTGTTCCCTTTGCATTTCTTTCCTAGGTACCTTGGGATCACGAGGCCGCTCACGTACCCTGTGAGGCAGAATGGGAAGTGCATGGCGAAGATGATTCTGTCTGTCTGGCTTCTTTCTGCCTCCATCACCTTACCTCCGCTCTTCGGATGGGCTCAGAACGTCAATGACGACAAAGTGTGCCTCATCAGCCAGGATTTTGGCTACACGATCTACTCCACCGCAGTGGCATTTTATATCCCCATGTCCGTCATGCTGTTCATGTACTACCAGATCTACAAGGCCGCCAGGAAGAGCGCTGCCAAACACAAGTTCCCCGGCTTCCCTCGCGTGGAGCCCGACAGTGTCGTGGCCCTGAACGGCATGGTGAAGCTGCAGAAGGAGGTGGAAGAGTGTGCTAACCTTTCGAGACTGCTCAAACACGAGAGGAAAAACATCTCCATCTTTAAGAGGGAACAGAAAGCAGCCACCACCTTGGGGATCATCGTGGGGGCCTTCACCGTGTGCTGGCTGCCGTTCTTCCTCCTGTCCACAGCCAGGCCTTTCATCTGTGGCACTGCCTGCAGCTGCATCCCCCTGTGGGTGGAGAGGACATTTCTGTGGCTGGGCTATGCAAACTCTCTCATTAACCCTTTTATATATGCCTTTTTCAACCGGGACCTGAGGACCACCTACCGCAGCCTGCTGCAGTGCCAGTACCGGAACATCAACCGGAAGCTCTCGGCCGCAGGCATGCACGAGGCCCTGAAGCTTGCTGAGAGGCCGGAGAGACCGGAGTTTGTGCTGTAAGGTCATTTATCGTTATTTCCCTTTTATTCTCCCAACCTCTTTTTTTTTTGCATCTTCTTGAAGCACATCTCAGAAAGCTTCCCGAGTCAGTAGCTAGCTTATTTTTTTTACTACACATATCAGGTTGGAACTCAGGATAGTATCAACTCCAGTCCTCCACCTAATAGAATTCCCAAACCCCAAGGTACATACTTAATTGGATTGGAAGAGGAGACAGGTTTGCTGATGAATCGAGGTTGATGGGATTACACTAGGAAGGTGATATTTACCTTTCTTTCTCAATAAAAGATATCCAAATTTTGTCCTCATTTCGAAATTCCTGTAACCTTATAATTTCAGTTGTTATTATTCTTCCATCCAGTAAAACTTTTTGGGTGACTTCATCCTCCACTGATAAATTCTTTTGAGGAAGGAGGCAAAAATAATCTTTACAGTTTGCAATTGCATTTACACAGGAAGCAGCTCAGAAAAAGGAGAGTGGTTTGTGTGGGGAGATGGCAGGATGGAGAAAGCCACAGGAGCTTTCAGGACAACATGCTCACCATGTTGGTGGTCCAGAACCAATAACTGTTGAGTTTGTCTAGGAGGCCTTAGTGACCTTCCAGGAAGAAATTACTGTAGAGTGTTAGGATCAGAAAAGGATTGCAAAGGGCTGATGATGATAAGGAAATGGTCTCCTTCCTATGTAAATATGTCTGGCATTGAGAAGAAGGAGGACTATAGTAGTTAAACTTATCATCAGGTCAAATGGAGGCTTTGTTTTAAATTTGAGGTAGAGGTTATCGTCTTAATGCCTGAAAGTTTAAGGGGGAAAAAAACAACTGGGAATCTTGGAATGAGAAATGCTGGAGATTGGGACCAGCAGTTGGTGTAATGGCTATGTCACTGGACTCCTATGTAGTCAACCGTGGTTTGATTTCTCACTTTCTGTCTCTCTGCCTTTCTGGTGAGCGCACGTGCCCTATAGCGAAAACCAAAACAAAACCTCTCCAGAAAAAAGAAATGCTGGAGATCGACAGAGCAGACTAGGGTTGGACAAGAGCAAGGAGGAAGTGTTCATCTTTACAGAATCTGGTAGGAAGGAATAGACCAGAGAACCAAGGACCCCTTTAGCTGAGAGGGACCTTTTTAATCATCTTGTCCAATCCCTTCATTTAACAGAAGAGGCACCTGAACCTTGGAGAGTGAGATGCCATACACTTAGCTAGTAGCACAACTAAGTCTAACTCCCACTTCATGTGATTCTTAGTACTACATACTTTTCATAATCTAAGCTGCCTTTATGTGTAATGATGGTGGCTGAGGCAACATTGGAGGGAGCATTTTTACCCTAAGAGTGTCCCAAAGGTCTGGGGAGCCATAGAGCTAAATCCATAGCTGCTGGTAGATTCCAAATTATCCTAATAAATTATAATGGGCTCTGGAGGATGCACATCGATGGATACTTTCCAAATGACTTTGAAAACCTCTAGAAACTCAACCTAGTCTCTAGGATGAAGCAGGAGGATTTAGTCCTCAAGAAGAAGGAGGTTGCTGTTTCTTGTCCTAGACCTCAAAGTTGTAAGACTTCAGCTATGTTAATTTTTGAGGTGGGTGTAGTTTCACAGGTATTCATTTTTCTACCATATACATTCTTTTAAAATTTTTTTTAAAATTTATTTCTTTCATATTAATTCACTGTATATCATTGTAGCATACAACGTGAGTTTTCTCATCCAGAATACACTGTATATTGGCTCAATCAAAGTTATTACTATATATGTTATCTTCAACAAGTAATTTTCCATTTCATTTTTCTTATATATTTTACTTCTCTCTTTTCTCCTTGATTCCCTACCTATCACCCTCTGCCATTTCTGAGATCCACAGCTGCTTTCCATGCTTCTTTTTTACCCCCAAACATCAGATAATTGGTATCCTAGAAGGTGAAGAAACTAATAAAAACATTGATAATCTATTCCATGAAATATTAGAAGAAAAGTTTCCAAGCCTAGAGAGGCACTCAAATATCAGACCCAAGAAATAAAAAGGACCCCAAATAGAATCAACCCAAGAAGATCTTCTCTAAGGCACAACATAACCAGATTGGCCAAAACCCAAGATACTAAAATTGGCAAGAGAGAAATATCAAGTTACTTCAAAGATTATGCCATCAGGCTAACATCGAACCTCTTATTGGAAACAATGCAAGCAAGGAAAGAATGGGAAAATATATTCAATGTGTTAAGTGAAAAACAGTTTCAACCAAGACTACATATGTACCCTTTTGCACATATAATATTGTATACAATAACAATTGTTGATACTTTAAAAAAATAGAATTTTAGGTTCTAGAGTATATACTATGAGCAACTAAAGGTATCCCTAGGGGATCTTTTTCTGCTTATACATTTTTATTGAAGTTCCCATGTGGTAGGCAAACACAAGAGATCTTCCAAAATTTTATAGAAAATTCATATTATGAAAAAACTATGCATGGATTTCAAAATTTTCTTTTCCTTTTAAATATTTTTTAGGGTTTTGCCATAGGGTGTGTGCACTTGCCAGAGAGACAGAGACAGTGAGAGGAAAAGTGAGAAATCATCCTTCTAGGGAGATGGCCACACTGCAATTCCTTTTCTTCTAATCTCATCCTGGGATTTTGGGCATGCACACACATGTGCCTGGTGTGATTTTCAAGCCTCTAGGTCTGGGACCCAAACTCCAGTCAGCCATGTGGGAGTCCAGCACCTCAAACATCACACTATTTGCTGGCCCCAGATTTCAGATATTTTTACACCAAATAAACTCATACTTTAATTCCATAAACATTTTGAAGTTTTCTTGTATTTGCTCACAAGATTATGAATTCCTTCAGGAAGTGATTTTCTTTGCCAAATTTCCATTTGCAAAATATGCATTGTTCCTGACAGATAATAGAAGATAAATAAAAAGAATGATGACTAGCAATTATTTAACACCTACTACGTGCTATAAATCATACTGCCTGCAAAATAAGTGCCTCTAGCATCCCTGATTTTCAGAAGAATAATTTGAAGCTCGAGAATATAAAGTTACTTACCTAAGGTCACATGGCCTTTAGTGGTAGATAAATAAATCACTCTGATGCATGTGCTCTTAACCATTATGCAATACTGCTCATCAAATGATCTCAGTCCGTAGGCAGTGAGGAGCTATGAAATGTTTTTGAATTGGGAATTGAGCCATCAGCTCTTTCTCAAACAATAGCATAACCTGTTACTCAAAGTCAATTAAATTTTGTAGGCTATTGCACTATAAGGGGGCACCACCTAGACAATTTTCTTTAATTGCTACAGACCATATGCATACTCTAGAAAAAGAATGAGAGCAAGAGAGAAAAGCACTCCCCTGTGGGGAATGGTCATGCTGCAATCCCTTCTCCTCCATTTCTCCATCCTGGTGGAATTTTGGGCATGTGCACATACATGCAACCAGTATGTTTTCAAGCCACCAGCACTGGGATTCAAACTGTTGCTGACCATGTGGGATCTGACTCCTGATGTACTGAGCTTAACTGCTGTGCTATAGGGTTGTTCCTAGATAGTTTCATATTTTCTCAGGTGAAAATAATAAGGCAAGGACATTGAAAGAATTTTAGGACATGGGATGGGTGATTTTAAGGTAGAACTGGTGAGCGCTGGACAGATTATGACATCATATCTCTGGTTTGGTGGGTGTAGGAAGATGAGGGCTTTGAAGCAATGTTAATGAGCAACTGTTAGTCTTGGTAAGTAAGCTGTTTTAGCTGGCATATAGCCTTTCTTCTGGAAGCAAAAATTTCCTGGGACAAGTAGCTGGGCTATTTTTTCTGGTCCCTGGGTTATTTAGCATGGGAAAAGGAGAGCAGGTTGGTTTCAGCTCTTGTAACCTGCTGAAGGTCATTGTTGATGGTTTTTCTGGCAATAGTGAGAAGCACAGACTGAAGGGGAAGACCATTGACGGGGGCTCCAGCTGTGCAGCCAGCGCATAAACGGGAAAACAACAGCTGAAGCACCATTGTACTTGTGTACATCCTATCCTGTCAGAGAGCTGGAGACTATATTTATTGATTATTTTAGTTAATAGTTCACAGGTAATTCAGATCAGAAAATGATATTTTAAAACATAACACAGGGGCCAGTAGGTGGCAGAGGTGCTAGACTCCCCTTTGGCTGACACACAGCTCAAATTCTGGACCTGGTGGCTTGAAAATAACGCCAGGCATGTGTGTGTGTGCCCAAAATTGCAAGAAGAGAATGGAGGAGAAGGGATTGTGGCATGGCCACCATCCTTGGAGGGGGGAGTTCTCACTTTCCCTCTTTTTGTCTTTCTCTGTCTCTTTCTGGTGAGTGCATGGGCCCTATGGCAAAAACCTTAAATCTGTGTTCAGAGGGCTTTTATTTATTTTATCTTTTATGTTTATGCCATAGGGTGTGTACACTTGCTAGAGGGATAGAGAGAGTGAGTGAGAAATCATACCCCAGGGAGGGAGGTAGAGAGGGGGGATGGCCATGCCACAATACCTTCTCCTCCATTCTCTTCCGAGGAATTTTTTGGGCATGCACAAACTTGTACCCAACCTAAGTTTCAAGCCACTGAATATGGGAGTTGAACTGTGGTCAGCCACGTGGGAGTCCAGCACCTTAGCCAGTACTCCCCCTGACACCCCTAGGAAGGGCTTTTAACTTCTGTGCTACTGTGCCTTTTATAGAAATAAATCAGCTTACTAAAGTCCAAGAGTATTTGCCTTTGTGTTGCTAGCTAGAGTTGTTATCTTGTTAGTCTAAGATGGGGGTCCCTAATGCTTACTCTGAAGGGCCAAAGAGCAGATATTTTAAACTTTGCTATCCATATGGTCTCTATTGAAATTACTCTGCCTTCATAGTGAGAAAGTGGTCATCAACATAAACAAATAGGTATGGCTTCGTGCCAGTAAAACTTACTTACAAAAGATGTTGCCAGCTAAATTTGGCCCACACATAGTCTGCTATCCTCTGGTCTAAGAAAATTACTCTCTTTTCATTGCCTCTTTCTCTGTCTGAATTTGTAATTATGGAATATTCAGATCACTCAGGGTAGTTGGCTTAAAAATATCTATCAACATGAAGAAATTTCTCATGATATAGAGCTATTTTATGACTGCTGTGTTTCTAATTTTATGTCAGTTAGTTTTCTAGTCTTCCTAATGTTGGAAGACTCATTTTAAGATTCTTTTTGTGTAATTGCCACATATTGAGGATGACACAGAAAATACATGATCTCATTCCTGATCTTGTACATATATTTATATCAGACGGACCATAAATACACACACATATACACTGCCGGGGTCTGAATGTATCTCCACAAAATTTGTGTGTTGCAACCTAATTCCCACTGTAATAATATTAATAGGTGAGAACTCTAGGGGGTGATTAGGGCATGAGGATGGAGCCCTCATGAGTGAGACTAGTGCCCTGACAGAAGAGGAGTGAGGGCTGTTTGCCCCTCTGCAGTGTGAGGATACAGGGAGAAGACAGCCACCTGTGAAGCAGAGAGCCATCCCTCTCTAGGCATCAAATCTGCTGGCACTTTGTTCTTGGGTTTCCCGGCTTCTAGAACTATAAGAAACACATTTCCATCATTTATAAGCTACTGGTGTGTGGTATTGTCAAATAGCAGTCTGAATGGACTAAGACATATGCATACCCACACTTTGTAAGAAGAAAGAAAAGGTGGAGGTGAGAAAAACTATCCGATTTGAAGGAAAGGACAGTAATTCAGAGTTTGCAGTAATTGATCAGATATTCCTGAAATCCAGGTTGAGTATGTCTATGAAGATGGTCAAAAGATTTATACAGGACAGCAGAAATGGTATTCTAGATGGAAGGAATTTTATATAGAGGCTAAAACGTGGGAGCTTATGCTAAGGACAGTCTGGCTAAAGCAAAGCATTGGGGTGAGGGAAGACGAGATTAGAGTAGAAAGGTACATTGAGACAAAATTATGAAGGATTTACTATGCTTTCTCTAAGAATTTGGGGATTTGGTGTAAGCATGTGGTTCTCAGCCAGGAGTAATTTTTCTCCCCTACCCTGAAGACACTTGGCAATGTCTGGAAAACATTTTTGTTTGTTAAGACATGGCAGAGGGTGGGGAGTAGGTAGCATCTACTGAGTAGCTCAGGAATGCTGCTAAAGATATAATACACAAGTCAGCCCTCCACAACAAAGATTATCCATCCATGTGCTAAAGTTGGGAATCCCTGGCATAGACAACAGTGGACCATCCACAAATCGTTGCAAGTAGAGAAATGGTGTTATCAAAGTGGTGAAGACTGATTTGTTGGCACTGTGTGGAATGAATCAGAAGGAAGGGGCTGGATGTAGAATCTTTTCATTTTTTTTTCCAGAAATACTGGGGCCTTCCTGTGCACTGTGCCTTTATGGTGCCAGGCACAGTAGAGGTGGAAAGATGAATAAAGGACAGTCCTCACCTCTGGAAGCTCACAGTTCAGTAGGATGAGGTGGTGGTGGTAGTGGTGGCTAGGAAAAGATTTGTAACCAGAATAACAACGCACATGGTCTGCACTCTGCACAGATGCATTCACATAAACACTCGTTGGATAACCCAACAACTCAGAACTCCATTGGTTATGAATGATGTAACCAGTCTGGAAGGATGACAGAGGTTATCTAGGGCTCAGCAAACCTTCGTAGAATCCTTTGCTCCTCCTACCTCTGTCTCCCACTATTGCCCTTTTCATGATGATCAAAAAGACTCTGGGCTCCTCCCTCTCATTTCTCCAGCCCTTTCCTTCCCATCTGCCTGCTTGGGGTCTATAGTCTCTTTCACTTTTGCTTCTTGCTCTGCCTTCTTGGCCCTATTTTTTTTCTCTCCTTTATAGTAGTTTTCTTCCTTTCTGGTATAAATGAGCTAGCTACTGGACTGTGTGTTGCTACTTCCAAATATTTACCATTTCTTCCCATTTTCTTGATCAGCATAACCAGAGCCTCAGGAGTCCAGCAGGTACTTGAGGTAACAGAGTAAATACAGGGAAAAAAAAGCTGCGAATACTTTTGCACTGGTAATTTTAATTCACTAGTATCCATTTTAATGTCTCTCACCTTTACACAAGCATCCAAACACCGGTGATACAAAACCACATGTGCTAATCTGATTTAATCATGGATCCTTTTTAATTTGATAACTTTATTCATGGATTTGCTTTGAATTTGCCATAAATTACTTTTTTTTTTTTTAAGAGAAGTTTCTCATATACGGTGTATGTGTTTTCCAGAGAGACAGAGAGAGATAGAAAGTGAGAAATCAGCCTCCAGGGGGAATGGCCACACCACAATCCCTTCTTCTCCAGTCTTCTCTTGGGATCTTGGGCATGCACATGAATTTTAAGTTGCTGAGGCCGGGACTCAAACTTCAGTCATCTACGTGAGAGTCCAGTGACATAGCTATTATGCCATCTGCTTGATCCCAACCATAAATTGCTTTTAAAAATAACATGCTTTGATGACTTTTATTTTTGGACACTTTTTATGAACAATATTAGAAAGCAGTTTCTAAAATACTTCCATGTGAAAGAATGTTACCAAATTGTTTGAAGGAGCTCTTCTTTTCCCTCTCCATTTTCCTTCTGGGCAATTGTATTGTCTTTCTCATCAAAAAGCCTCTTATAATCCCTGCCTTTGAGGTGGTTCTTAGTGATGACTCTTAGCAGAGTAACCCTGGGTTTCTGCCTTGAATTCCGTCAATACTCTGCTCCAGCATTTGAGCTGAAGCTGATCCCAGAGGAAATTGGGAAGAAGCATCAATGCTCTCAGAGACCTGGTATTTAGGGTGGGCTGTTGCCTTTAGGACCAAAACAAACACAAAGTTTGCTATTTCATGGACCTTGTTCCCCCCTCTCCTCCAACAGTAGCATTTTTCTCATTATTAACTAGCTGGAGTTCAGCATTTTATTAAATCTCCAACTAGTAAGGTTGTTGGGAAAGTTATGATGTACTTTTCTGTGTTTTTCTATGTAAAATGCATCATGACTTTCCCGACAACCCAACAGTACCAAGAGCATCCTGCATCATGCTTTGTGATTGCCAACATTTGACTTTGCAACAGCTGCTTACAAGGGAAATGATATCGAAGGTGGGTCTTGGAGGGAGAGTAATATTTTAACAAGAGGGGACAGTAGGGGTAGAGGTGGGGTGGGGGCTGCTCAGAGCAGAGGGCACTGCATGGACAGAGGGGCACAGATGTGGACAGAGGTGGACAGGGAGCCTGCGCCATGTCCCCAGCAATACTGGGGAGCCGGGTAGGTTGAAGAGCCAGGTGGCAGAAGTTGGGGAAGGAGATAAAGCCTTTGGAACAGGAGTGAAACCAGGACTGTGGGGTAAATGGCACGAGGCGGGCTTCACAACAGGAGGAGAGAAGAGGGTTAGGAGACTGATTTAAGAGTGAGGTCTCATGTCAGGAGATCTCCCACTCAGAGAGTGGTGTGGAAGCTAGGAGAGAGGCCGCGGGTGTCTGAGATGTTTGGTAATTGGAATGTCCAGGCCATCCTAACTGGCTGGCAGATGGGGGGGCGAAGAAATGGAGACTTTGCAGGTGGTGCTGCACCTAAGGCCTGGGGAAATTCAGCCCAGCTCATGAACTTGCACAGAGCAGAGCAGGCTGCAGAGGAAGCATCGTCTCTTCCCTGCTGAAAAGAAGCAGAGTCTTGGGCTAGGAAGAGGTGTCTGGAGCACAGTTGGGGGCACAGCCTGTTTCAGTCCCTACTCCCAGATACTGAGGAGCCTGGCGCACCAGGTCTGGGCCGAAGTGTGGCACTTATCCTTAGGTGCCATTGTGTGAGTCTGAGGGGCAAAGCCAGAGACCGTGTCTGGTGGAGAAACTGATCCTGCCATCGGGAACATCCATTGCATCTCCCTCAGAAGGGCCAGGCTGAGGGTGGGAGATGGGATGAGGAGGAGCAGGACTGAAGGCACAATAGCCAAGAGACGAGGAGGCAATGTGGTAGTGGGGGTTGGGGAACACAGCCCCAGGCCTGGGCCCTCACAGACCTGGCTCTTAAACATAGGTCGTGGTGTGGTGGTTGAAGGCGTGGAGTTAGGGGAGTATGGTCTACACCAGGAGAAAGCTGTTGGCTGACACTTCTTTATGTCAGTTGGCTCACCCTTCTTTATTCACTTCTGTGAATCTGAGCAGGAGGGAGGGAAGCGGGTTTCCCTGTCTCTGTACACATACTGTACACACGTACTCTAACACACCTGCCTGGGTTTGCAGGAAGGAGCACTATTCATTAGCAGTCATTGCTTTTTTATTCAGTGTTCTTTTCAAGTAGGGCAAATGCTATAGTATTTTGCAAGGATTTTTGAAAGCAAAGCCAGTTTTGGCCACAGCTGTATTATAAAAGCAAATTTCTAAATGGCTTATTTGGAGCTCATTTGCAAATATATTAAGGCGTTGGCAACCTGAAGAAGTTGTGAAATTTATGAAAAGAGCTACAGCACTTTTTCTTTCCCTTTAGAGATACTCATAACCCTTAGAATCCCAAAATGATTCAAATGACTGAGCGCTGTAAAAAAAATTAAATCCACCCACCACAAAGTGAAAAACTCACATTTACAGTTCTACTAAATCATTTTCTTGTGTCTTTCTCTCTCTTTCTTTTTTATAGACAAAACTCTGACTACTGTAGAAAAAAAGGTCATGACTCATGACCGAAAGCGGAATAATGGAGATGAAATAAACAAAGCAAAACACAGGTGGAAACAGAACAAAATCACTTGCCGAGACTGCAGAATGGAATGTGGCTTCTGTCCTTTCTTGGGATGGCTAACACCGACCGACAGGGTGATCTGTTGTACAAAGTGTATCATGGGGAGATGCGCCCTCTCCTTGTTCTTGTGGATGAGTGCTGTTGTGTGCAAATGAAAATCGTTCTCCGTTTAAGATAGCCGATCATCTCAGCAGTCAGCACACCACAGAGCTGAGTTCTAGGAAGGAAGCAGTTTCTGGTGCTTTGCATATGTCCACATCATACAAGTAGGGGAAAGTTCCAGTGCACATGTCTCATGCATCTGAGTCTAGGCATTGGCCATTGCAGTGAATATTCAGGAACCATTCACGAGACAGAATGTATTTTGTGTATGACAGAGGGTGTTTTCCAAGCAAGCCGCGGTAAGCCTCGTGTTGAGTATGTTGCATGTCTATGTTAGAAAACAGAATCCAGTCATCAGCTAATATAAATGATTTCCCAGAACAATGTTTGTTTAAAGCTTCTGTCAAACAGTTTGGCTTTTCTGCAGGGTCCCTGTGACTTTCCCACCAATATACTTTCTCTGTTAACTCACTGGCTCTTACAGTATAACTCAGGAACAGGTCTCAGGCTGGAGAGAAGCGTAAAGCCGAGTAAAGGTTTTCCTTGCACTCATGCTTCTGAGAGGTGCTGAGGGTGAGGGGAGCCCTTCTGTGAGGACTTTGCCCTGTGAAGAGCGAGTACTATGTAACCGCGTTGAATATGCAATGATTATTGGCATGTTTTTGACTCTCCTTTTACCCAAGGGTGCAGTGGGCCCAGAGGCAGGCCCGTGACCATGTGAGGTGGCCGACGTGTGGGAATAACGGGGCTGCCATGAACGGCTGAGATACTTCTGGAGGTGGTGTGTGCACATGTGCATTCTCTTTGTGTGGCTTTTCATGGCACTGATTTGTGTGAACTGGAGGTCACCTGGGCCCTTCCTGGGAAACGCTCCAGAACACCATCCTGTTCCCGCTGGAGAATTTCTTTTTGTGTTCTCTGTCTCTTAAATCAAATGTGTGCCCGGGGAAGTTTGTCTAATGCACCCCAACCCCCACGCCACCAAGAAAGAAAGGTGGTAGACACGAAGGGCAGGTCAAGAAACAGAAAAGGTCCCTTTGGGGATAGTTTTTATTTTTATTTTTTAATGGTATAGTATAGGTAGGTATGAGCTAAGGAAAAAGTAAGACAGTGCATCAGAAAAGAAGAACCAAAAGAAAATATTATTTTCCTACAACAAAGGAAGCTGTCCTCGCACAGAATGCAATGGAATTCCATCGTGGAATACAGACTTCTTCCAACTTTCATTGACATTGCTTCTTACCAGACACGGGGCGGGCTGCCTTTCCTGAAAGGAGAGGCTGGCACTGTCATTTCTGAAAAAGCTTGTACAAACCACAGATTTGCTAAAGTGACCGTATATACTTCTATTCATAATTTAAATGATTGATTATGGTCAGATACATGTTGTTACATCTGAAAATGTTTTATTACATTACATCAAATAAAGTTTATTTGTAGCTGTAATAAAGGAACTTAAGTGATGATTTCTAATTAAAGGTGTGTTGTCTTATACGTCGTGCCGTCTGCAGAAAGGCAAACTCGACGTGTTTGCAAAAATCCTGACAGGTAGCTGTGACACTTCTAGAATTAATTCGATTTCGCCTTGTGGAATTGTCATTCAGTAACTTTTTTATTTTTTAAACAATGACTGTCCATTTTCTATTCCATTCCTGTGCATTTATTGTGCTCCTGCTGCGTTCAGCTCTGTAAGCATCAAGTGAGCAAGGTTGGGTGTGGCACAGTCCTTATCATGAAGAATCTGTTATTGGGTGGGTGGCTGACCTATCTCCTATTGTCACAGCGTAGCCCAGGAGGTTCCACAGTAGGTTGCAGGGCATGCTGTTTTTCTCTCTTGTAAGATAGGGCGTTGGCTGACCTATCTCCTATTGTCACAGCGTAGCCCAGGAGGTTCCACAGTAGGTTGCAGGGCATGCTGTTTTTCTCTCCTGTAAGATAGGGTGTTATGGTTAGTTGGATTGATTTAGGTTTTCGCATGTGATTGTTTAAATTTTTATTTGGCCCTTATTTATTCCAGTTGGCTCTTTATCCTGCCTGACTGGAATGCCTGATTATAGGACTCTGCTTCATTCTAACTCCGGAGGCTGGAATTCAGTGTACAGTGTGCTATAAATGTGTGGTGGCTAAGTGAAAGGAAAAGGCAGAAATGAAAGGAAATGAGAAAAAAGACCCCAACAATGAATGCTGTTTCACATATAACATCATTCTTCTGTGCCATGGTACAGCTTTTAGCTAAGAATTGGGAAAATCATTGAAATTAATATTTTATGGCTGTTTAAGAATGACTGTTATGACTAATCTCTCTTCTCACCCTGGAGATCAGCTGTCACCTTCTGGCAAGGCTAAGTGTTGGGAAATGATGCTTGGGAAGGAAAGTACTTGCAGGAGATAACTGAATCCCCACTGGCTAGGTCTAGTTTTATTTTATCTAGTTTTATAAATATTAAACCGGAGGCATCTAGAGTTCCTAGCTTTCTAAGACACTGGTTTAAAACTCTTAAAGCATTTACCCTGGTGTTATATACTTGCGATAACATGTATGTATTTTTGATCATCATATTTCCATGCAGTTTTATTAGACAGTGGTTGCAGGCAGGAGGTCAACAAAATGAATGGAAAATGCAGGCACATTTCTCAAAAAGAAATGTATGTTAATGTAATAATTGTTTGAATTACCATCTGGAAATGGTGGGAAATTTTCGTTCAGCCTTTTGATTGTCAACTGAGTTCTCAATTTCATGGATATAAATGTTTACAAATCATGAATTGTTTTAAACAGTTTATGCTCTGTCTCATCTCAAGACCTTCACACATGTTCTTCCTCTCTATCTGGACTGTTCTGCCTGCTTCCAATTATTTATTTGATGTGTGTCTCCATCCTTGTGTAGCCTTTCTTCAAAGGCAGGGACCATGTATGCTTTTTTCATCACTGTGCTCTTTTCCTGGGACCATGCTAGGAACATAGATATGTAAGCATGTGATAAATGTTTCTTAGTAGGAGGGAAGAAGGGGGCTAGCAAGGGAGGGAAGGAGAGAAGAACCAGTGTTGATGTGGTGCCCTTTTAAATCTGCGCATGAGGAGATAGAGGCCACTTGGTGTGATTGAGTGGCATGTGCAGGGAATGGGGAAGGAGGAGCTGGAATGATGCTCTTCTCCGTGCTCCTTAGGCCAGGCCCTTCACCGCACGAAGCTGCTGCTTTTGGGTCAGTTACTCATATCCAGAGCAACCCTTTCTTAATTTTCTGCACTGGTGAAGCAGAGCTGTGTATGTACTATGGCCCATATATGGAAGCTTGTTTATCTACAGCTAGCCAGATGGTCCTTAACAGCACACAAAGAAGCCATTTGGAAACTTTCAGAGGGTCAGCACATTTTGGAGACACTCAGAATAATGCAAACTGTGATGGCATTACTGACTCGCTGTCTGCTTCCAGTGAGGAATATCTGATAGACGTTGTGAGTGAAACACACAGACTCTGAGAACCAGCTCAGGGGATCTGGTGGGCACTGGGAAAGTCATGATGTATTTTTCTATGTTTTCTGTGCAAAAATGTGTTATGACTTTCCCGACAACCAAATAGTTTCCAGAGACAGATATGCATTTTATTGAGTGGTTTTAAAAACTTGCCTTGTTTATACTTTCTCTTGAAAAGGTAAATAATTTCTTAACATACAATACTTTAATTTTTTAAGTGCCTGCTGGGCTTTAACAAAGATAGTGCATATATAGCCCAATCTAATAGAGAGAGGATGTGATCCTCAATGAAAAAATGTAAAAGCAAAATTTTCTATAGCTAATGTGAATCAGAAAGCGAGAGGGGGTAACAAGGGTCAGAAGTAGATTTGCAGGAAACAGGTTGAGTCTTTGGCATTTTAAAAGAAAGGCTGAGATAACGGAATTCTATCTGTATTGGGGAAGGAAGAGATGGTGATTCAAAATAGCAGATGATGAGCTATCTGGACTTTATCTTGATGTGTATTATGGAATATTTTTGGTGCAAAATTACCTTTCTTAATTCCATTTTGACTAGATTATTATTAAAATGCTCTTCTATTTTTTAAACCTACATGGTCTCTCAGTGGGAGAGGTGGTTCAGTGCTAAAATGTGAGGCAGCAGAATGTCAGCTGTAAATAGAAAAGTTTGGGAAAATGAGATATCAATGTATCCACAGAGAATCATAGAGTTAGAGAATCTCATGAATGATCTAATATAACCCCCCCCTACCCCCGTCTTGCGGGTGAGAACATGCTAAACTAGAGCCACGTTTTGTCTGAGTTTGTTTAAAGGAGTATGGTGCAGAGCGGTGTTTTACAGATTGTTTTTGATGAAGAAATTCTTTCATTAAATACATCTGTGTTATGTGTCTATGCATAGCTAGACATTTCTATTTGAAAAATAAGATAAAGATGAATTATAGAACAAATAAAGTGGGAAAAACAAAATATAAGTTCAATTTCTTTTCTTATTTTTTTATTTTTTTTTTTAGATTTCTGCCACAAGGCACATGTACTCACCAGAGACACACAGAGAGGTACACAGAGAGAGGACAAGTGGGACATCACCTCCCTGCCCCCTAAAGAGGATAGCCATGTTGAAATCCCTTCTCCTCCATTCTTCTCTTGAGATGTTCGGCATGCTTGCACAAGCACTTGGTGTGATTTTCAAGCCAACAGGTCCAGGACTCAAACTGCAATCAGCCATGTGGGATCCAGTGCTTTATCCAGCATGCTACTTGCTGGCCCCTAAGTTCAGTATTTTTTTTTCCTTAAGTTAAATAGACATAAACTTACATTTTAATAAATATGATCAGAACAATGATAGCATGGAGAAAAAGAAAAGAATCACAAACATTGGCCATTGTTCACTGAAAGTGAACAGAAACCCAGGCGAGGAACCTCTGTAGCGTAATCACTGCATGTACAGAACACTGAGTTTTCAAGGCTCTTCTACAGCACGCTGGGATGAGCATGTTAGAGGAAAAGCATCTGAACAGGAAGGGTGAGGACCTGTAGGGAAGAGCTTGCCTTCGAGGACCACACCTGGGGTAGCACTGGTTCAGAGACGACCTGCTTCGCTACCTGCTCTGAAAGTTAAGAATCAGAGGCTTTAAACAATTGGAACTTCCTCCCTTGCCTCTCTTTATTTTTCTAATAATTAAATTGAGTCTGCAATGTTGATCTAAAATCATTGAAACCTATTTAATTTGTAGAATGATTATACTAACTAAATTGCTCTTAAGGCAAAGAAAAGGAGTACACTTTGACCAAGTATCAGCAACAGAGTTTGAGGGCAAAAGATGGTGATATTAGAAAGGTTACTATTAAGAAACCACGGCACTTTATATATTAAACTTCATGCTGAGTACGAATTACCTAGGGAGCTTGTTAAATGTGAGGATTTCAAGCCCCATTTCAGGAGATTATGATTTGGTATGTCCTGGAGTGGGAGGCAGAATGAAGAGAGCTTTTAATCAGACTGTTGGATGATTCTGGAACTGCTCATCTGAGTTCCATATATTGAGAATTGCTGTTCTCATACATGTTGGCCAATTGAATGATGCCGGGGTCCAGCCTCGGCGTGGGTGGGTTATCTCGACGGAGGCGGCGAAGATGAACAGAAGACAGAGGCCTCGATGCCTTTTCACGCACGTCCTTTGCCGGACACCCCTCAAAGATCGCTCTCTGGGGAGTGACAACTGCTAGGAATCATCGTGCCTTTTTATAGAAAATGTGATACATGCAAGTAAATGGGTGAGGGGCAGTAAAAGATTTACTCTAAGGAACAGGGTATACAAAGCATGGAAGCAATAATTATAAAACATGCTGTTTGTCTTGTCAGATTAGGTAAAAATCAATCACAGTTTTGAAGAAGTCCATTTGTCTGTTGTATCTTCTTAGATCTTGATTACTGGGGAAGGGTCTTTTGAAGAGGGGGCTTGCAGGATGTTTGATAACTTCAGTCCCGGGCCAGGGCGATAACATTGCTGGTTGCAAAGACCTAGATAGAAATCTTGTCTTGTTAAGTAAAGACACAGTTAATATATGGACTATCTATACATTACAACAATGGAGGGTGAGTCTATGATCTTATATGGGAAAGGAAGATGATCTTGTAGCTCAGGAGACAACACAGGATGTTTTATTAGCAGTTTTTCATAGTCAACAGCACATAGATGAGAAACTCTTTGTAGTTGAAAGCTACCTGTTGCTTTAGATAAGAGCTCCCAGCTAAGGTGGTTAATCTTTCTCTGGAGCCCTCAGGTTTGTTCATCCTGTCAGCTTAAACAAGGGGTATTTACATAAAACTAGCCTTAAACTAACTTAGTT